TCCAATAAGGCCACACCTCCTAATCATTGCCAAACAGTTCCACCAACTGCAGACTAAGCATTCAAATATCTGAGTCTGTGGGGTCATTCTCATTCAAACTACAGCAGAGCTCAAGGCATGGTAGTGCATGCTTGGAATCTCAGTACTCAGAAAACAGGTGGATTACTTCAAGTTTGAGGCCATCTTGTATGATGAGACCCTGATATCTTATCTTGAAACAGAAACACAAAAGCAAAATCTGAAGAAAAAATAACATTTGGGTTGACATTGGTTCTTTACTACATAACCGCTTTTGAATTTCATGAAATTCATGAAATTTGATGAAATTCAAAAGCGGTTATGCCTTCCTTTAAAAAATTTTTTTGAAACTGGGTCTCTCTCTATAGCCTTGGCTGTCCTGGAATCCACAATGTAGGCCAGGCAAAGATTTTCCTGTCTCTTCCTCCTATGTTCTGGGACTAAAAGTATGTGCCACCACATCTGACTTCATCAGTATTTCTACAGTTGGTCTTTTTCTGATGTAGGATCCTATCTGGAGTCCCTTCTTGCATTTAGTTTTAATTTATATTTAGTCTTGTCTAGTCTGTAATAGTTTCTTAATTTTGTATTTCATGGTATTTTTGAAAACTATGGGCCATTTATTTTTTCTCAATAGAGTTGGTCTGATTATTTTTTGTTTTACATAGTCTGACTCATGTAACCCAGGCTGGCCTCAAACTCACTATGTAGCTGAGATTGACCTTGAACTTTTGGTCTTCCTGCCCATACCCCCAGAATGCTGGACTTACAGTTACAAGTCACCATATCTGGCTTTGTTTTTTTTTTGTGGCTCAAATTAGATTGTGTATTTTTAGCATCTTATTGTGGTATGATTTTGGTGGGTCTCATTCCTGGACACATACCTTCGTTTCTTGTGTAAATTGGAATCTGCAGTTTCTTTACTGTTAAATTTCTATTTCTCCCTTTATAGTTCAAGTATCTCAGGAGGGATGCTTTGAGACAATGCACATATTCTATTTCTCCTTGAAAGTTTGTGCATTCATTTTAGTGTTCATTTGTCGGTCACTCCATCTCACTTTATAAATATTTATGGTAAGTATTTGACTAAGATAAATAGAGCCATGCCCTACTAAAATGAAGATCAATGATGTTGGAATCCTATTGTATTATCATGACTCTAACCACTGTGTTCCCCAACTTTCAGGGCTTAGTACAGACAGATTTGCTTCCCAGTATGAGCATTTCTGGTTATGTAAGTGGTGTCTGCCATGTAGTGACTAAATGCTTCAGGCTGACATTTTACTTTGAAGTAATTTCAAGCTTGTAGGAAATAGCAATAACACGAAGATACCTTATATGCCCTTTGACCTAGGTTTACTTAATAGTTGTCACAGTGGCCTTGTTTCTCCCCTACCCCCTCTCTTGTCTATGTCTCCCCTCCCACTCTTTTGTTTTCTTTTTTTTGAGACAGGTTTCTCTGTGTAGCCCTGGCTGTCCTGGAACTCACTCTGTAGAACAGGCTGTCCGTGAACTCAGAGATCCCCCTGCCTCTGCCTTCTGAGGGCTGGGGTTAAAGGCATTTGTCATCATGCCTGGCTATCTCCTCTCTTATTTTATATGTCTATATTTATGCAACTGTTGTTCTCTACAAACTCATTTGATATTAAGTTGCATGCATCATATTTTCTTGTACCTTAATATATAACCCTAACAATTTATCCACCTGTACAATTCTAATATATACAAGAGTTAGTTTTAGAGTTGCAAGCCCAGAATTTTCAAGAAATATGACCATAAACTAGATTGTAGCATTTACATGTAGCTTTTTTGTCTTTAGCCTTATAATATCTAGTCAAATATTGATTTTCAGTTTACCACTGAAGCTTTAAGTTCTGAAATCTGTAATATATATATATAATATATATAGTTATTCAAATATAAGAAATTTGGGCTGGTGATATAGCTTAGTGGTAGAGTATGCATGAGACCCTAGGTGTAACCCTTAGTACTGCAAAACAAAAAATAAAACAAGAAAGAGGAAATTTAATATTAATGCAATGCTCTAGTTTCTGATCTGTATTTCAAATTCATTAGTTATTCCTAAAACATTCTTTGTTGGAGTTGTTATTCTCTACTATAGGCTGTAGCCAGGACGACATATTGAATTTATTTGTCATAGCTCTTTCATTTCCTTTGATCTAGAATAGTTCCTGTAAGCATTTCTCTGATTTGTTCTTTTCTTCTTTTTTGAGACAGGGTCTCTCTACAGAGTCCTGGTTGATCTGGAACTTGCTTTATAGACTATGTTGGCCTCTAACTTGTGACAATCCTGCTTTTTACTTCCCAAGTGTTTGGATTCTGGGCATGCACCACCATGCCTAGACTTTCTTTGATCACACTAGCATTTTGAAGAAGGATGTATCATGACATTGTTTTATAGTATGTGCCAAGTTTGAGTTTGGTTAATTTTTTTTGACTAAAGTACTGGGTAAGTGATGTATGTGTTCACAAGGTGTCTTATTGCTTCTTATTGATAATTGTAATTTTGATCATTTGGTCAAAGTATTATTTAGATCTGTAGTATTTTTAGATATGATATGCTAGAATGATCAATACTATGGAGCCCCTTATATTAATGTTTTAGACTGAAAATTGATGACTAAAAAGTTTTCAAAACTGTTCAGATCTAAAGGTAGGCCTGGTGGTGCCAACCGGTCATTCCAGCTACTTGGGAGATTTAGACAAGAAGATTACAAATTCAGAGCTTGATTGGGCTACAGAATGAATTCAAAGACAGTCTAGGAAAATTTGCAGAACTACTGTTTCAAAAATTTAAATAAACATAAAATGAGAGCTAGGGATAAAGCTCATTGGTGCAGTGCCTGCTTAGCATGCCCATGACTGTAGATTTGCCTTCTATAATGACAGACAGACAGACTGAATATACCTAACATGAATTCACTAGAGAAATGTGAATGCAAACTTTTGCCAACTAACTGGTCCTCCTTTTCTCCTCCTCTTTCTTTGTTTCCATGTTTTCTTTCTCTATCATCGTTCTGTCCTCCTTTCTTTGAATATTTTGGTGTTCTTTTGCATTTTTGAGACAGGGTCTCACTCTGTAACTCTGGCTGGCCTAGAACTTGCCATGTTACATGATTTTATTCTCAGCTTGTTTATCATTTGTGTATAGGAGGGCTACTGATTTTTTTTAGTTAATCTTGTATCTACATATGTCGCTGAAGTTGTTTATCAGCTCTAGGAGATCCCTGGTGGAATTTTTGGGGTTGCTTATTTATAGTATCATATCGTCTGCAAATAGCAAAAGTTTGACCTCTTCCTTTCCAATTTGTATCCCCTTGATTTCCTTTTACTGTCTTATTACTCTAGCTAGAACTTTCAGTACTATATTGAGTAGATATGGAGAGAGTGGACAATCTTGTCTTATTCCTGATTTCAGTGGAATTTCTTTGAGTTTCTCTCCATTTAGTTTGATGTTGACTGTTGGCTTTTTGCATATGACTTTTATTAGATTTAGGTATGTTCCTTGTAGCCATGATCTCTCCAAGAGGGGTGCTGAATTTGTCAAAGATCTTTTCAGCATCTAATGAGATGATCATGTGTTTTTTCTTTCAGTTTGTTTATATGGTGGATTATATTGACTGATTTTTGTATGTTGAACTCTCCCTGTATCTCTGGAATAAATCCTACTTGGTCATGGTGGGTGATAATTTTAATGTTTCTTAGCTTAGTTTGCCAGTGTTTTAGTATTTTTGCATCAATGTTCAGGAAGGATTTTGATCTGTAATTCTCTTTCTTTGTTGAATCTTTGTGTGGTTTGGGTACCCATGTGACTGTAGACTATAGAGTTTGACAGTGTTCCTTCTATTTCTGTTGTGTGAAACAATTTGAAGAGTATTAGTATTAGCTCTTCTTTGAAAGCCTGGTAGAATTCTGTGCTGAGATCATCTGACTGTGTTTTTTTTTCCCCCGTTGAAAGACTTTTAATGACTGCTTTTATTTTCCTAGGGGTTATCGGTCTATTTAAATTGTTTATCTGGTCTTGATTTAATTTTAGTATGTGGTACTTATCAAGAAATTTGTCCATTTGTTTTAGATTTTCCAATTTTGTGGAGTAAAGGTTTTGAAGAAAGACCTAATGATTCTCTGGATTTCCTCAGTGTCTGTTGTTATATCCCCGTTTATGTTTCTGGTTTTTGTTAATTTGGATATTCTCTCTCTGCCATTAATTAGTTTGGTTAAGTGTTTGTCTTGTTGATTTTTTCAAAGAGAGTCTTTATTTCTTTGATTCTTTGTATTGTTCTCTTTGTTTCTATTTTATTGATTTCAGCATTCAGTTTGATTATTTCCTGCTAGATTGATATTTCCTCCTCTTAGGTGTGTTTGCTTCTTTTTGTTCTAGCACTTTCTGGTGTGCTGTTAAGTTGCTAGTATAAAATTTCTCCAAATTCTTTATGTAGGCATTTGGTGCTATGAATTTTCCTCTTAGCACTACTTTCATTGTGTCCCATAAGTTTGGGTATGCTGTGCATTTATTTTCATTGAATTCTAGGAAGTCTTTAATTTCTTTCTTGTTTCTTCCTTGACCCAGTGGTGGGTCAATTGGGAGTTGGTTAGCTAGCTTTTCGGAGCACATTCCCTTTGATGGGATGCCATACTCAGCCTTAATGCAGGAGGGAGGGGCCCTAACTTAATGTGCCAGACTTTGTTGATTCCCCATGGGAGACCTTACCTGTTGGGAGGAGTGGATTGGGGGTGGGCCGGGGAGGAAGGGTAGGGGAAGAACTGTGGATGGAATGTAAAATGAATTTAAAAATTTAATTTTAAAAAGTGGGGGTAGGGAAAGAAAATAAAGTAGAAGGAAAAGGAAGATGAAGGAGGAGAAAGAGAAAAAGAAAAGGAGGGGACGCAGAGCGGTTTGGTCGTTAGTTGGAGGTAAATCTTCTGTTCCGGTGGCTCCCTGGCTGGCTTGGCGGTCCTAGCACGGGCCTCAGACTCCGGCTTTGGACTGCTGGGAGGCCCGGAAAAGCGCGCCCTCTATCGGCGGGGTGAAGAAGCCGCACCGCTACAGGCCTGGGACCGTGGCTCTGAGAGAGATCCATTGCTACCAGAAGTTGACTGAGCTGTTCATCCGGAAGCTACCTTTCCAGAGGTTGGTGAGGGAGATCGCCCAGGACTTCAAGACCGACCTGAGGTTTCAGAGTGCAGCCATCGGTGCCCTTCAGGAGGCCAGTGAAGCGTTCCTGGTGGGGTTGTTTGAAGATACCAATCTGTGTGCCATCCACGCCAAGAGAGCCACCATCATGCCCAAAGACATCCAGTTGGCTCACCGGATACGACGGGGGGGGGGGGGAGAGAGCTTAAGTCGAGGTGGTTTTTATGGCATTTTGTAGTAAATTCTGTAAAATACTTTGGTTTAATTTGTGACTTTTTTTTGTAAGAAATGGTTTATAATATGTTGCATTTGTACTTAAGTCATTCCATCTTTCATTCAGGATGAATGGGGAGAGTGACTGTTCACAGACCTCAGTGCTGTGGGCGCTGCGGCTCAGGAGTGACAAGTTGCCGATGTGCAGAAGGGGGATGGGTAATAGTACTTGCTTCTCATGATGCATGTTTCTGTATGTTAATGACCTGTTGGGTAGCTATTAAGGTACTAGAATTGATTAATGTACAGGGTCCTTTTGCAATAAAACTGGTTATGACTTGAAAACAAAAGAAAAGGAGGGGAAAGTGAAAAGTAAAATGATAGCTCATGCACTAGGGATAGATCCTGGTCTTACTGCCAGGAATCTCCCACATATGGAGGGCCTAGTTCAGTTCCATGGAGGCTCCACAGCTATTAGTCTAGAGCTTATGAGTTTCCACGAGATTATTTCAGCTGTCTCTGTAGATTTCTCCATCATGATCTTGACCTCCCTTGCTCCTATATTCCCTACTCACTGTCTTCAATTGGATTCCTGAAGTTTGGCCTGGTGCTTGGTTGTGGATCTTTGCATCTGGTTCTGTCAGTTGCTGGATGAAGGCTCTATGATGATAGTTGGAGTAGTCATCAATCTGATTACAGGGCATGGCATGTTCAGGTTCCCTCTCTACTATTACTAGGAGTCTTTATAGTGGTATATTATTTGTGTTATCCCAGCAACCACACTAGTTAGCTATAAAAGCCAGGCAGTGGTGGCACATGCTATAGCATGAATAATAAAAACTCAGAGATATTGGGGTTCAAACAGAAGATCAGAAAAGTAAAGCAACCAAGCCACTAGACAGATCTTACCTCTACCAAGGGTCAGAAAAAAAGAGGATCCTGCAGTGCTCTCTACCAGACTCAGACTCCACACTCCACTGAGTTCTTGTCCCTTCCTCTTTATATTCCATTTTCCACCAAGACATATCACTCCTGTTTCCATCCCCTAGTGCTGGGATTAAAGGTGTGGGATCCCAAGTGCTGGGATCACCTTGTATGAGCTTTGTTTCTCATTTAGACAGATTCAGTCGTGTGTAGCCGAGGGTGGCCTTGAACTCACAGAGATACATCTGCCTCTGTCTTCTGAGTCCTGGGATTAAAGGTGTGTGCCACATTTCCTGGTCTGTATGGCTGACTAGTATGGCTGCTTTGTCCTCTGATCTTCAGGCAAGTGTTATTTATTAAAATACAAGTAATATACCACTATAACACACTTTTAATCCCAGCAGCCACACTAGTCAGCCATACAAGCCGGGGAGTGGTGACACACACCTTTAATCTCAGCAGCCTCACTAGTAAGCCATACAGACCAGGTGGTGGTGGTACATACCTTTAATCTTAGCACTAGAGAGGAATATAAGATGCAAGAAAACAGGTCTCACTCTCAGTCTCAGTCTGAGGATTTGTGGAGGCAGGGTTGTCCATTTCGATCTGAGGTAGAGGCAAGAGCCAGTGTCTGACTGTTTTGTTTTTCTGATCTTCAGCTTGAACCCCAATTTCTGTTCCTGGGTTTTTATTATTTGTGCTACAAGACTTAGCTGGGGCCATCCTTGTGGAATCTTGGGAATTTCCCTAGCAACAGGTTTCTCCTTAATCCCATAGTGACTCTCTCTATGAAGAGCTCTCTTTCATTGCTCCCCACTCCGTCCCTCTCCCCATCAATCATCCTATTCCCTCAAGTTTTCATCTCCCACCCCCTCTTCTTTACTGCTCACCTCCCCCCAGTTTACCCAGGAGATAGTCTCTAATTCCCCTTCTGTAGACGATCCATATGTCCCTCCTAGGGTCTTTCTTGATACCTAACTTCTCTGGAGCTGTGGATTGTAGTCTGCTTATCTTTTGTTTTACATCTAATATCCACTTATGGGTGAGTACATGCACCACTCTTCTTTTAGAGACAGAATTTTGCCATGAATTCCAGGCTGGTCTTGAACTCACGATGTACCTTAAGCTGGTCTCAACCTTGAGGTGATCTTTTTGCCTCGTTCTCTCAAGTGCAAGGATTATAGGAATGTACCAACGTACCTGTCTTGATTTTCATTCACCTATTCTTGTCTGAAGACCCAGGCTCTCTTATTATTGCTTCTGTGGTTGTACCAAAGTGTATGCAAAACATGGTAACTCTGTTTTAGTTGCCTAAAATCCCATCCCAGTACCTTGTAGTGACCATTTTCACAGTCATGTTGATCATGTATTGGGGAATGCCATGCCTGACTGTTCATCTCTGCTCTCTATAGCATTGGGTGGTTGAAAATGGAGGTATGAATGGCTTCTCGATGACTGTGGCCAGCCTAGCTTCATGCTGTGTCATGTCCTCCAGGGCTTTCCATGTGGCTTACATGTTAGATGTTCATACTATCATGATCCCTGGGTACTTCTCAAAGGGCAGTGATGAAGTGAAGTTCTTTATTTCAAATTCAACTCAGTATTGGTAAAAATATTTAATATTGTAATTTTCTTTTTTTCCCAAAATGTGTATTACTTTAATAAAGTATTTTATTTTTATTTAACGTTTTCATTAATTCATCTAGAATGCTATACCATGTATTTAGTTTTTTGAGGTGTAAAGGGTTTATTTGGCTTATGAAGGCGTAAGTCACGAACAATCCAACACCAGTTTGGAATTATGATTAATAGAATGGTTATTTATTCAAAGGGGAAAAACTTACAGATCACCGTCCCAGACAACAGCCCTCTGCATGATCAGGAAAGGAGTCTAGGAGCCGGAAGCAGAGCTGGAAGCAGAGCCGGAAGCCAGAGAGGGAACAGAGGACAGCCACTGCTTTTTTAAAGAGAGAGAGGTCACGCCCCAATGGACTGGTATCTCAGCAGCTATTGGTTGAAGCAGCGGAAGGAGCTCCTGCAACAGGCTTATACTTATACATCATAGTCCATCATTGAAGGAATTCAGTACAGAAACTCAAACAGGTCAGGATCCTGGAGTCAGGCACTGATGCACAGGCCATGGAGGGTTACTGCTTACTTGTGCATTCCTTATGGCTTTCTCAGCCTGCTTTCTTTTTTAAAAAATGATTTTTAATGATCTCTACATTTTTCTCTGCTCCCCTCCTGGCCTCTCCCCTCCCCTTCTACCCTTTCCCTTGGTCCCCCTGCTCCAAATTAACTCAGGAGATCTTGTCTTTTTCAACTTCCCATGTAGATTAGATCCATGTATGTCTCTCTTAGGGTCCTCATTGTTGTCTAGGTTCTCTGGGTTGTGATTTGTAGGCTGATTGTCTTTGCTTTATTTTAAAACCACTTATGAGTGAATACATATGATAATTGTCTTTCTGGGTCTGGGTTACCTCACTCAGTATGATGTTTTCTAGCTCCATCTATTTGCCTGCAGATTTCAAGATGTTATTTTTTTCTGTTCTGTAGTACTCCATTGTGTAAATGTACCACGTTTTCCTTATCCATTCTTCAGTCGAGGGACATTTAGGTTGTTTCCAGGTTCTGGCTATGACAAACAATGCTGCTATAAACATAGTTGAGCACATGTCCTTGTGGCACGATTGAGCATCCTTTGGATATATACTCTAAAGTGGTATTTCAGCCTGATTTCTTATAGAATCCAGGACCACCAGCCCAGAGATGGCACCACTCACAATTGATGGGTTCACCAATCACTAGTTTTAAAATGCTTAGCTAGGCCTGGGACATCCTTCCCACTGCTACCTCTGGCTCCATGCTGGCATTTTGATTGTCTTGAACTTATACATGCTGTCACAATCACCGTGAGTTCTTATGTGCAACTGTCCTGTTGTGTCTAGAAAGCACAATTTCCTTTTAGTTATCCACCACTTGGCTCTTAAAACTTTTCTGCCCCATCTTCCTCAAACATTGGGCCTTTGGGGGATTGAGTATAATATAAACATCCCATATAGAGTGGAATACTCCGAAGAGATTATTCTTTGCACATTGGCAAGTTGTGGGTCTTTGTTTTAATTGCCATCAGCTGCAAGAAAGGGCTTCTCTGATGATAGTTAAGGGGTGTACTAATCTATGGATATAACAATGAGTCATTTTAGAAGTCACTTTAATACTATGTCCATTTAGCAGAATAATACTAGGTTTTTCATAGGTCCTGTGACGTATCTAATCATGGGTCCTTGGTTCTGATATTGGTGTCAGATATGGGTTCCATCTCATATAGCAGGCTTTAATTTCAATCAGAAAGTGGTTGGTTAATCCTGTAACATCTATGCTGCCATTGCACCAAAGCTTGTCAAGACAGTCAGTCAGTCTTGTAGCTCATATCTTCACAGCTGGGTAAGACTGATGATTATTTTTCTTATATGTTAACATGTATAGAACTTCCAGCACTATGAAAGCTAGCCAGTAGGTATAAAGCTTCCAGGTCAGTACTTGCCTGAGTTCTCTATGTTTTGTGACTCAGTATTTGGTATATTCAGCAATAGACTCTACTATCAAGTTCTGGAGCATAACCAAGAACAATGGCAGTAGCCTATAATGTTTCAGAATCAGTTGGATCCCACTAGCCAGCAAGCCAAAAAGAGGTAGCCTATTCCTGTCACTGGGATTTTAATTTGTTATCATATGATTTTGAGTTGGGATATTGTTTCCGTTATAGAGTACACACACACAACATCATTTAAATTATTTTATATATATGAATATTTTATGTATTTCAAGGACCTTCTTCCATGACTTTTTCAAAAGGCCTTTAGTGTGAGTTATCTCTCTCCATATTCCTTTCTCGACCCTGCCCCCATCCTTCACCCTGTTTCTCATCCTGTTCTGTTATGTCCCTTTTCTTCCTTTATATTACTTTATTGCATATCCCCTCTCTTGAAAGTCCACCCATGCATGGCCCTTTACTAATTTCATAACATCTATGAGTACTCCACAACGTTTTTTATTTAAAAATAATCCGTTGATTCCAATTTGTGCTTCCAGTAGACT